AATGATTCACTAACAACTGCGGCACGAACGGTCGTAGAAGGGGGCAAATGTCACTTAAAAAATGCTTACTGTAACAACAGAAACGTTGGGCTCACGTTTACGACGGACACGGCATTCACGGGGTCATAGGAGCAACATTTGCAACCTCCCCCGACAAGCCAAGTCAATGGGAGAAGTCAGGCTTGTTTAATGATGGCGTGACTCGCTTAACAACTCAGTGCTTTGCTTAACGGCTGTGGCAAGAAAAGGTCGTAAAATGAGGCTCAATTCCCTTGCTTAGCAGTGGAAGTTGTGCTCCCAAATTTTCTAAGTTGAGGGCTACCTATGGTGCATTTTTCAAAGTGGGAAATAGTTTTCCCCAAGCTGTTGTTAAATACCGGGAGTCCTCGACTTACGACCACAGTTGAACCCGAAATTTGCATTGCTAAGCGAGGCAGTGGTCAAGCGTGTTTTGCCCCATTTTCAAACTTTTCTTGCCATAGCAAGAAGATTAGGCGAATCGCCGCAGTTATTAAGAGAGGAACATCGTTGTTAAGTGAATCGGGCTTCCCCATTGTCTTCGCTCGTCACTGCAACCGTCATAAATATGAGTCAATGCTATAGGAGTCATTTGACCGATGGTTAGAGAATAAATAAAAGAATTAGAAGTAAAACTAGCTGGGTAAAAATGCACCCATAGAGTTAGCGTGATTAATAGCGCTAAATAAATTAAGAAGAGGATTATTATAGTATTAGATATTTAAGTTATTGGTATTAAGCTGGAATAGATAAATCATGAACATTATTGTAAAATTTAATTTTTATTGCACAAAATATTCTCTTGTGCAAAGCCAGTGAGCGTCCCGATGAAAAGGGAAATTTGCAGCCAATCCTTTCCAGGTTTTGCTCAACATTCCCCCCCCCCCATCCCTCTAGATATATGCCTCTTATCAGGTTTTGAACCTGGGTTCAAATTCCGCTCTTGAGCCAAGATCGGTCACAATGATGAAGCTGGAGTGGGGGGGGGGAGTGCAATTTTGGGAAAACCATTTCATCACAATTTAGTACCCCCAAACAAACTGGAGCACAACTGTGTCAGCATCCCTCATCAAACAGACCTGCAACTTCTGATAGGTTTGGTTGGGAATGATGGGACCTGTAGTTCAGCACGTCGGGAGGGTTATGGGTGGGAGGTCATGCTTCGGAATTAAAACTGTTTAAAATAAATCCAGAGAACATTCTCCTGGGGCACCTCTTAGAATCACAGTGTTTTGGGCCTGGGAGGAACGCCAGAGATCATCTAGCCCACCCCATTAAATTATTCATGAGAGCCTCTTCCTTAAAAATTCAGAGTTGGAGAACCCACAACCTATTTTATGGTTGCACACATCTTACCCTCAGGAAGTTCTCGCCTAATATAGCTTACTATCTTATCCAACATGCTTTGGCAAATCCTACCCTGACGAGAGAGCGGGGTTGGATTAGATGACCTCTGATATCCTTTCCCACTGCAGTTCCATGATCACTACAGCTTAAGGGAGTGAGTTTTCTAGCTCAGAAGGAGGTTTTGCAGGAAGAGACCCTGATTTTATTGAGAGGGAAGCCCTTGACTTCTAAACACAACTGAACCCCAGATTTCTGTTTGCTAAATAAGGCAGTTGTTAAAGGACGCTTTCCCCGTTTTACGACATTTCTCGCCACCGTTGTTAAGTGAATCGGAATGTAAATCGCATTGACAGTGGGAGATACTCAACGTGTGAAAAAACAGTCCTAAGTCACCTTTTTCAGTCGTTATAACTTTGAGCAGACAGTCGATTATTACCTGTATTTGCATGCCTACCTGGCAACCCCAGATTCTAACATTTGCAACATGCAAACATGTGCAAAGTTATTATTATTATTTTTATGATTATTCTTCCCCAGATCCTATGGAACACCCCTCCCCTCGCGCACACTTGAGTTTACACAAGCTAGCCCCTTCTACTACTTTGCAACACGTTGGAAATCATTTGCAAGAGCCTCCCTTGCCGGTTTCCAGCGGAAATCGGTCGCTCTTGTTTTGCATGGAAAGAAAAACAGGCATCTCGCCCTGACGAGAGGAAACCAGAGGCGGCCATCACTGTCACTTCCTCCTCGCGGGGTCACTGGGTTCAACTTCAATCATCAGCTAGTGGCAAACTGCAGGATCAGAACACAGGGCCATGTGGGGAGGACACGGGGGCGGGGGGGGGCAAAGAGGATGGGCTGGGTCTTTCCCTCATGTATGCCCGACTCTGCTTTAGAAAATCCTGCCTGGGGCCCATCCCAGTGAAGTGGAAACTGAGAGGGAAAGAGAGAACTCTGTGTATGCTCAGAGGCAGGCTTGTCTCAGATTCAGGAAAGCTGGGGGAGGCTCATGTATAGGGGGCAAAGTTTGATCTGGATCCAGAACTATTTCTCAACCTTGGCCAATTTAAGATGGGTGGACTTCAATTCCCAGAATTCCCTAGTAAACATAGCTGGCTAGGGAATTCTGGGAGTTGAAGTCCACTCATCTTAAAATGGCGGAGGTTGAGAAATATTGATAAATACTGTTTCTCAGCCTTAGAGTTTAAAATGAATGGACTTCAACTCCCACAATTCCCCAGTAAGCATAGTTGGCTGGGGAATTCTGGGAGTTGAAGTCTACTCATCTTAAAATGGCTGAGGTTGAGAAACATTGATCTAAAGCAGTGTTTCTCAATCTTAGACTTTAAAATGAATGGACTTCAACTCCCACAATTCCCCAGCCAGCTAAGTTTACTGGAGAATTCTGGGAATTGAAGTCCACTCACCTTAAAATGGCCAAGGTTGCGAAATATTGATCTAAAGCAGTGTTTCTCAACCTTAGACTTCAAAATGAATGGACTTCAATTCCCAGAATTCCCCAGCCAGCTATGTTTACTAGGGAATTCTGGGAGTTGAAGTCTCCCCATCTTAAATTGGCTGAGGTTGAGAAACATCGATCTACATTGTTTCTCAGACTTAGAGAGTTTAAAATGAATGGACTTCAACTCCCAGAATTCCCTAGCAAGCATGGCTGGTTGGGGAATTCTGGGAGTTGAAGTCTGTCATCTTAAAGAGGCCGAGGTTGAGAAACATTAATCTAGAGCAGTGTTTCTCAACCTTAGAGACTTTATAATGGTCTTCACCTCCCAGAATTCCCCAGTAAGCGTAGCTGGCAGGGGAATTCTGGGAGTTGAAGTCCCCTCATCTTAAAATGCCCGAACTTGAGAAGCAAGGATCTAGAATTTGATCTCAATCAAATCTGTGCTGGATCCCACATTTTCTCTCAGAAATGACTTGAAAATGTCGCTTTATACGGGTTTAGCAAGATGGGGGTACGAGCGTTAGAACGCCACCCCAACATTTCAAGGGACTCCTTCAAGCAACCCCAGGTGGAACGGAGAAATCCCGAAACTGTGGGTGGGAACAAAAAAGAATATGAACGACCCAAATTAGAATTTATTTTGAGTTTCCTGGATGTAGGAAAGTGCACAGAGAGGTCAAAAACTTCAAAATGGCCGCCTTCCCCGCGCAATTTGAACACAGGACTTTGATTGGCCCAGCTGCTGTTTTGACTTCTCTAGGCAGATGGCAGATTTAATCTTTCTTTACCCCCCAAAAAGAAAGATTAAAAGATAAAAAGCTAGGTAAATAAATAAAATAAATAAATAAATAATGTATATATATGGATACAGGTAGCACTCAACTTAAAACAGTTCATTTAGTGACCATTCGAAATTACGACAGCACTGAAAAAGGTGGTTTATGAACGATTTTCACACTTGTGACCGTTCCCTGTGGTCATACGACCAAAATTTGGGTGCTTGGCAACTGGCATGTATTTATGACAGTTTCCGTTTCTCGTGTCCCATGATCCTCTTTGGGGACCTTCTGACCAGCAAAATCAACGGGGAAGCCAACTTAATACCGGCAGCGGTTCACTTAATAGCGGTGGGAAGAAAGGCCGTAAAATGAGACCAAATGCACTAAAGACATGTCTCGCTTAGTAACAGTCGTTTGGATCGTAAGTCGAGGACTACCTGTAAAAAATGGCAGGAACAATCCATGTGGAGTTCTCAACATTTTTAACAGTAACAGAGTTGGAAGGGACCTTGGAGGTCATCTAGTCCAACCCCCTGCTCACGCAGGAGATCTATACTAGGGATTCGAACCGCCGAACTGCCGACCTTTCTGATCGACAAGCTCAGAGTCTTAGCCACTGAGCCACCTATCCTAGTTAAAAGTTAACTTAGTCAATTAAAGAAAGCGGGGGTTAAAACAATTCAGAGGCAGCCTGAATTGAGAGCCACCATCCTGCTCGGTTGTGGCCCCTGTAGCCGGACCCGAGTTCAAATCTAGACAGATTTCTCCCCCAAGACTTACTGTTGTTGGATTTCAGGTCCCGGTGGATGACGGGCACGATGGCGCCACAGTGAAGGTACTCCATGCCCTGCGCGATCTGGACTGCCCAGTTGATGAGGATGTGCGGCGGGATGCGGCGTCCGGCCAGCATCCGGCTGAGCGGCCCTCCAGCCGCGTACTCCATCACCAAACACAGGTTGGGCCCCTGCAGACAGACGGCCTTCAGGACGATGATGTTGGGGTGCTTGAGCATGGCGAAGAGACGGGCCTCCTGACGCACTCGCTCGGCCGTGGTGCTGATGTCCTCGTCCGGGTCCTGGCGGGCCGCCTTGACCGCTACCAACTGCCCCTTCCAGCTGCCCCGGTAGACCTTCCCGAAGCCCCCCACCCCGATCACCTCCTCCAGCGTCAGGTCCCGAAAGTCCGCCTCGGGGGGGTCGCTGGGTGCCACATAGGCCGCTGTCTTGGGCGAGACATAATTCGACGGGAAGATGCCCACTCGGTCGTTCAGCTTGCCGGCCCACCAGCCTTCGTCGCCAGAGATGGCCGAGTCCCAAGACAGGACTTCCACCAAGTCCCCCTTGCGCAGGGTCAGCTCATCCGTGCTGGCGGCCTCGTAGTCAAACAACGCCCTCCAGACGGGGTTGGCATAAGCGGAGGGACCCCCGACTCCGGAGGGACCCCCCACTCGGGAGCCTGGACCCCAGCCGCCCACCAGAGGGGCTTTCCGGAACATGGTTTTCAATGGCTCCATCGTGCCCTCCCGGCCTCATTGGGTCTAGGAACATGGACCCCCAGCGGAAGGGAGACCACGGGGAGAGCTGGGAGCCAGCTCAAACCCCCTCTCATCGGGGAAGACGATCCAGGTCTGCAACCCAGAGGCGCTCTACATGCCCTCCAAGGCTTCCCTGGCGCCCGCGGGCGCCGCGATCTCTTCCTCTTCCGTGGGCGCGGGCGGAGGCCCCGGGTAGATCTCGGTGGCTTCCTCGTCTCTCCCCGCGAAGGATCCGATCCGTGGAGGGAGGAGCGGATTCCAGGATCCTTCCCCGGAGATCCCGGCTGGCAGCGGGGGACGATCCGGCTCTGCAAAAGGCGGCCCCGACGGCTCGTTTGCCCGGCTTCGCCCCGGTGGCGGAGCGGTCTTTTCCCTCGGAGCGCCGGACAGAGCGAGGCGGGCAAAGGCAGGGAAGGCGAAGGCGGGTCTGCCCGGCTGGGACTGCCCCGCTTGGAGGCGGGTCTCTCCGGCTGGCTGGCGCTCCCTTCTCCGACGGAAGACAAGGCGAGGCTGGCCCCGGGCTGGAGCCGAGCCCAGTGCCGCCTTCGCCCGCTTGGCTAAGCTGGGGGGAGCGGCGCCAGCCTCCGGGGCGCACAGCGCTCCTCGTCTCGGAGGCGATGCTTGGGTTTGCTCCAAACTTGGGCACTCCGATTGAAGAATAGAAGAAGAATAGGAAAGGATAAGGAATACAAAAATAATAGAATAGGAATAGAATAGAATAGAATAGAATTCTTTTATGTACACTGAGAGCATCTGCACCAAAGACAAATTCCTTGTGCGTCCAATCACACTTAGCCAATAAAGAATTCTATTCTATTTTAATTATATTCTATTCTTACTAATCCTCTTCTCTATTCTCATCTCTTCTCCTCTATTCTATTGAATTCTATTGTATTCTATTCTCTTTTCTCTTCCCTTCCATCCCGCTCCATTCCTATTATTCCTATTCTATCCTTATTCTATTCTTATTCTATTCTCTATTCTATCCTAATTTTATCCTAATTCTATTCCTATTAATTCTATACTATTCCATTCTATTCTTATTCCATTCTCTCTTGTCTTCCCTTCCATTCCTATTTTTTCTATTCTATTCTATTCTTTCTATTCTACTCTCTCTTCTCTTCCCTTCCTATTTTTTCTCTTCCCTTCCTATTTATTCTATTCTATTCTAATTCTGTTCTTATTCTATTCTGTTCCTTATTCTCTTCCCTTCCTATTTTTTCTATTCTATTCTATTCTAATTCTATTCTAATTCTATTCTGTTCCTTATTCATTCCATTCCACTCCATTCCATTCCTATACTATTCTGTCCTGTCTTGTCCTATTCAAATTTACAGAAGGTGTCTAAAATCTGGGATCCATGATTCTTGGGGGGGAGGGAAATTTGGGGAATTTGTGGTTGCTTCAGCGCTGCCACAGCCCTGTCCAGAGGTTTAGTTGACTGATGCCACCCTAGCCCAGATCCCTCCATTAGCTACCACTGGTCAGCAGTGGTCAAGCTGGTAGAAAATCATAATTCTGTTTTCGCTTAAGGAAATAGCTCCGAAATGATGATGCAATGGTTATGACAGGTAAGTAAGTATTAAAAAATACTAGCTATGGTAAATAAAATTATTATTTTGCGATGCAAACTTTGAGACAACCAATAGATGGTGGCAGCGTTTCTTTTCTATATCTCTGCTGCCATCCAGTGGTCGTCGTGGAGACCTTCAGGCCACCCTGGGGCTTTAGCGTAAATTTGCAATTAATATTAATATAACATCAGTAAGTACCAAGCTACGGCCCATGACTTCCAAAGCCAGGAATTTCTCATTGGGGGACAAGACCGCCACTCAAAGGGAACGGACCCAATAGCAAGTAGCGTAACACTGAAATGCCCGCCCTTTGTAGTAAAGATACCAGAGCAATTAAACAGAGAATATCACGCATGCGCGTTGTCACGAGGGTCTCCCTTGGAAGTAGTCCGCCCGTCCTCCGTCGGCCGATCTGATTCGCATGCGCATCTGGGTCCGTGGAAGTCATTCGCGCACGCGCACCTCCGTTTTCTTTAAACGGTGGATAAGGAAGCGTGAAGTCTGTTGGGACGGACAGTAGAAACAGTTATCAGCTAGAGATAGTAAATAAGAGAGGGTCATTTCATTATCTGGGTGGAATGTTTCTGGGTTGCTTTTACGACTTAGAAACAATTTGTTTTTCTTACTGGTAGGAAAGTGAGAATTCCTATTTACCATCCTTGCCCCGTTGAACTGCAGCCTGTTCACGATTGAATTGGACTGAATTGTAGGAATAGTGCAATTTGCACCAACCTTGTGGTGCTGGCTGGATTACATTTGTAGAAAGAACAATTCATAATCCTGCAATGTATTTTAGTATTACCAGTACACACATTTATATTTTAATTTAAATATTTTTACCGGTTTATTCTCTCTCAATAATGCATGCACATGGTTTATATCCTTTCACATAGCCTTTGCATATTTTGTGCTATCAATACATACCTTTGCTTTCATAAGGATAGTTTTTCCCCCGAATGCCATCTCTGCTTAACAACTAATTCCCACAATACTGTCAAGGCTGTATTATTCTTCTCTTCCTTGCTAGTACCTCTCTCTTCCCACTTATGACTATAACCATGTTGCTTGTATCTTTCAATTTATATTTTTTATTGTTTCCCAGTACGATTTGATAGCTTATTAGTAACCTCGCCTATCGCTAAGTGATTTTTATTCTTGATTTTTATTCTCCTTATGTACACTGAGAGCTTATGCACCAAAGACAAATTCCTTGTGTGTTCAATCACACCTGGCCAATAAAGAATTATATTCTGTTCTATTCTATTCTATTCTATTCTAAGGCTAGGCTAGGCTAGGGTATATGCACCAAAGACAAATTCCTTGTGTGTTCAATCACACCTGGCCAATAAAGAATTATATTCTGTTCTATTCTATTCTATTCTATTCTAAGGCTAGGCTAGGCTAGGGTATATGCACCAAAGACAAATTCCTTGTGTGTTCAATCACACCTGGCCAATAAAGAATTATATTCTGTTCTATTCTATTCTA